ACTTGAGGTTCCTGTGCAGAGAAGCCCCTAGACCAAGGGACGATTGATGATACGGACCTTCCTTCAGAGCCAACAGAGAAAGCCTTCCCCTGGAGCTGACGCCCTGAATTTGGACTTATAGCCTACTGGACTGTGAGAGAATAAACTTGTTTGTTAAAACCATCCACTTGTGTATTTCTGTTATAGCAGCACTAGATGACTAAGACACGCCCTTTGAAATCTTCCATTCAGCTCTTTATCATTTCTTCCATTTGTTTTAGCTTTAGCTCCTCTGTGCTTAAGATCAAGTTTCAGAGTCTCTTCTGATGTTAATTTTGGTCTTTTCCTGTCTTTCAAATGACCTCTTACTTTCTTCATGTGTGATGTCCTCGATGTATTCCCACAGCTCTTCTGGTCTTCAATCATTAGTGTTCAGTGCATCAAATCTATTCTTGTGATGGTTTCTAAATTCAGGCAGGATGTATTCAAGGTTATACTCTGTCTCCTGTGGACTTTCTTTAACTTCAATTTGAACTTGCATATAAGCAACTGATGGCCGCTGCCTTTATCTTGACTGGTAATACTGAGCTTCTCCATTGTGTCTTTCCACAGATGTAGTCAGTTTGATTCCTGTGTAATCCATCCAGCAAGGTCCAGGTATATAGTTGTTGTTTGTGTTCTTGAAAAAGTTTTTCCAATAAATAAATCATTGCTCTTACAGAATTCTATCATGCAATTTGTGGCTTCAGTCCTATTACAAGGCTGTATTTTCCAATTCTTCTTTGTTTCCAACTTTCACATTCCAACCCCCAGTAATTATCAGTGCACATTTGTTCAGACTACAGCAGTTCATAAAAATCTTCTATTTCTTCATCTTTGTCGTTTGAGGTTGGTGCAAAAATCTGAATAATAGTTGCATTAAATGGTATTCCTTTTAGGCATATGAATATTACCTTATCACTGACAGCATTGTACTTCAAGATATATCTTGCAATTTTTTTTTTTTTTTTTTTGATGATGAATGCAACACCATTCCTTTTCAACTTATCATTCTCGGCAAAGTAGATCATAGGATTGTCAGATTCAAAACAGCCAAAACCAGTCTATTTCAGCTCAAGATATCAATCTTCAAGCATTCCATTTCATTTTTGACAATTTCCAATTTTCCTTGGTTCATACTTTGTACATTCCACATTCTACTAATTGATGTTTTCAGCTGTTACTTCTTATTTTGAATCGTGCCACATCAGCAAATGAAGGTCTCAAAGACTTTACTCCATACACATGATTAAGGTTGACTCTATTTTGAGGAAGGAGCTCTTCCTCAGTCGTATTTTAAGTGTCTTCCAACTTGAGGGGCTCATTTTCCGATACTATATTGGATAATGCTGTGTTGCTTTCTGTAGGCTAACTTTTGGAAGCAGATCACTGGGCCTTCCCTCCAAGCCTGTCTTAGTCTGGAAGCTCTACTGAAACCTGCCCATGGGTGATGCCACTGGTATTTGAAATACTGGTGGTATAGCTTCCAGCATCACAGCAACATGCAAGCCACCACAGTACAACAAACCGACAGACTATACTGCCCCCGTTGAATTATCTTGGCACTTTTATCCAAAATCAATTGACCATGTACGTATGGGTTTACTTGTGGACTCTTAACTCCATCCCATTGATCTCTTTGTCTGTCTAGGCTTGTGCCAGTACCACACTATATTTATTAGTGTAGTTTTGTAGTAAGTTTTGATATCAGGAAGTGTGAATTCTCCAATTTTATTCTTTTTCAAGATTGTTTTGGCTATGCTGGGTCCCTTGTATTTCCGTAATTTTTGGGAACAGCTTGTCAATTTTTGCAAAAAAAAAATGCATTTGGGATTTTGATAGGGATTGTATTGAATCTGTACATTAATTTGGAAAGGACTGCCATTTTAGCAACAAGAAGTCTTCTGATCCATGAATAGGAGTATCATTTCAATTATTTAGTTCAATTGTTTTAAACAATGTTTTGTAGTTTTGGGTAAGTCTTAAGTTTATTTTTAAAAAATGTATTAAAAATTGCTTTCTTAATTTCAATTTTGGATTATTCATTGCTAGTTGTATAGAAACATAACTGATTATTGTATGTTGATCTGGTATTCTATAATATTGATAAAGGTTTGTACATTTTGTTTATGTTTTAAAAGACTCAACTTTTGGTTTTGTTGATTTTCTCTGTTTTTCTATTTCATTTATTTATACTTTTATCTTTATTATTTCCTTCTTTACGCTTACTTTGGGTTTTGTCTGCTTTTCTTTTTCCAAATTCTGAAGGTGAAGATAAAGTTATTCATTTGAGATCTTTCTTCTTTTTTAATATAGGGGTTTATAGCTATGAATTTTTCTCTAAGCACTGCTTTAGCTGCATTTTATATATTTTGGTATGTTGTATTTTCATTTTCATTATTCTCAGAGTATTTTCAAAATTTCCTTCTCTTTTTTGACTCATTCGTAACTAGGAGTGTGTTGTTTAATTTTCACATATTTGAATTCCCCACATTCCTTCTGTTAATTGTTTTCTAATTTAATTTCATTGTTGTCAAAGAATATACTTTGTATGATTTCAATCATTTAAAATTTAATGAAGCTTGTTTTATGGCCTTGCATATGTTTTATCCTGAAGAATGTTCCACATCTGCTTGAGAGGAATGTATATTCTGCTCTTGGGTGAAGTGCTCTAAAGTTGTCTGTCAGTTAAGTTTGTTTATAGTGTTATTCAAGTTTTCTTATTGATCTTCTGTCTAGCTGTGTACATTATTGAAAGTGGGATATTGAAGTCTCCAAATATTGTTGGATTGCTTATTTTACCCTTCAATTCTGTCAATTTTTGATTGATGTACTTTTCAGCTCTGTTATTAAGTGCATATATAATCGTTAGATCTTCCTGATGGATTGACATTTTTATCATTATAAATGTCCTTCACTGTATCTAGTAATATTTTTGGTTTTAAAGTGTATCCTGAGTTACTACTGTTTTAAGACCTTAAGGAAACAATTTCACACTCCCTATCAGGGTTGAAGAAGATCATGGAAGGCAGGGACCACATCTGTCTAAATCATCATGTATACCACCCAGATGCTTCATATTAAAGTTTTTTAAAATGCCCCTTTTGCATAACTGGACAGAGATAACATTATAAAAGAGGTATCACTGATACCCCTCTTTTTGTTTTCAATGGTCACCCCAAAGCACCCAGCATGGGATCTGGAATTAGAGAAGAACCCTTTTCCTCTCACCTCAATGATCCAGCCACAGGCCAGAGAAGAGGAATTTCCAGCAAGCTTCTCCCTCTCATGAAATGCTTCCTTCTCTTTCTCTACCCCTTACTTGATCCTTCCCATAAAAGAAGGGCTAACTAACCTACGTGGTGAGATTGATGACAGCTTGATATCCCTGACTCTATTTCTCTACTGAGTGGAGTCACTATTTATACTTTTTCTACTTCCCTTATTTCCAGATCTGTCTAAGGTTAGTGCAGTGATTTTGTGCTCCAGTCTATATGCACTAGGGAACAGGGAAGCATATCTTTCTCTTAATTGACTACTGAGCCTGTAATACAGGATGGATGGGTTAGGGTACTAGAAGATTGCTTTAATGATCTAACTGTCTCATGTAGGTGGGTTCTTAAATTTTCTTTCAGGGAAGAAAAATGTGCTGTGTGCTCTCTTCAGTTTTACTATTAATGAAACAGATTCTTTGATCCCCATGGTCTCCTCTACGGCTGAGAGAAGAATGTGGCGATAGAGTTTTCCCTAACACTTATCACACAGTAATGCACTCAATAAATACTAGCTCTGCTTTCCTCGATAATTTTTCTCTTTTTCCTTAGCAGTTTTCTATGCTCCACATTTCTCTGCTTTTATCTTCCATTAATATGCATTAATTCCTAACCTCAGTTTCTTCCTCTGTGAGGTTGTTTTAAGGTGTGTTAATTCAACTTGATAGGATAAATAGGTAAACAAATCTTTGCTTCAATTTTACTTTCTTCATGTTGTTCGAGAAGAAAAACCTTGAGAACAATAAATAGGTTGAGAAGATTTGGTGTTCGGGGAAAAAGCAAAATAGTTGTCCACATATATTTACAGATTTATTCTCCATGACTCCAGAGGAATAAAAGTGCCAAAGAATGAGTAGTAGTACAAGGCAGATATGAGGAATAATCAAATAGGGTTGCTTCAAATCTTAATGGGGTTTCCTTGCCACTAGCAATGTTCCAGTAAATACTGAACAACAACTAGCTAGTATGTCATAGAAACAATGTGAGCATAGAGTAGGGGATTGAAAATCAAGACCTATTCTCATCTATGATTCCATGACTCTATGATTTTAACACAGTTCCATGAGTTGGGCAAGCATCTTACAAAGATGATAGTGATGAGTGTCCATGGATTGATTCCGTTCAGAATATAACTTATAACTATTATTTGACTCTTGTTATTTGGTCATCATCTAAAATGAAGAATAACTGATTACTATGTTTTACATAAACATCTATTATAATTTGCACTATTAAGCCCAATGGATTATATCCAAGAAAAAAACTGCATATAAAGAATCTCCATGGTGCTGCCAATTATTCACAAAAACAGTGGTTAATATTTGTCGTAATATTAAAGTAAGATATCCAGCACAGTATGACTAGTATTATCTTGCCATACTATTTCTCATTAAAGGAGCTCCAATTTTAGAAAAATTATGAAGTAGCCTACAAGATAAACCAAATAAATTCAGAGAAAGAAAAACATTTAAATCTCTAAAAATAAATATTTAAATATCAAGATGGCTCAGTTCAAATAAATGACAAATGAGCAGCACACTTTTTTTGTAATCATATGAACTTGAGTTTGTATATACAAACTGGAGATTAACAAATTCTGCTGTATGTGATTTTCAATAACTTTTTCATAATTTATAAAGTACCTTTGTAATAGAATAAAGAGGTATTTAGAATAATCAGACAATCATGTTAATGAAAAATAACAGTTACCTGTCTGGAAAAAGACTCTAGAAATAATTGTCCGGCACAAAGGGCAGGGAGTGCTTGCAGGATTGTCTTTGGCCAGAGTCCGTAAGCAGGGCTCGCAGAAGATGTGGTGGCAAGGGTAACACATATAAGGGTTGAAATAAACATCCAGACACACTGCACAGATGTAGCTCTCCTTTTCTTCTGTATATTCATTTTCATCATCTGTACTCATCTCATTATTTAAAGTCTGCAAAACAAAAGCAAAAGCAACTCTTCCTAGTTTAATATGAGATTGGTCTCCTTGGAAAAGAATGGTTGACTTTATATTTTGTTAAAATGAATGAAAATATTTATGAGAAGCACATAATATCAGTTTCTGTGACATATTCAAAGAGACGGAAATGCATTCCTGTAAAATGAGAAGAAACTAAAAATACACATGAAACTCAGAAGAAAATTTTCTTTTTAGCATTTATATATAATGCTAAATGCTAAAATATATCTAAACATATTAAATATATCTGTATTTCTAACCACTACTAGTTAAGTAACTGTTAGGTGAACTGGTCCCAGGATTACAGATTCACCATCAACCCTACCCCAACCACAGCAAATCGACTGTTACAAAGCATCCATGCATGAAGAAAAGCAAGAGCAGGATGATATCATATTTTATCATCACATAGTACATGGAGCATCCTGTTTGACATTCTGTACCTTCCTGGACCTCAAAGCTGAGAAAAGGACGAAGTTTAAAGTATGTCAGGAGGTGGACAGGGCAAAGAAACCTGTAGTAATTCTGGATTAGTCTCCTAGCTGGGAAAAAGGCTATCCTCTCAAACCCCTAACAATAACAAAAAAACAGAATTAACAAGAGGCCATTCAGAAAGAGGTAATTAAGAAAGAGGCAGCTCAGAAGTTACAAGCAAAAAGTCTGGCAGCAGAATTCCTAACCTCAAAGTTTCCTCCTCTGTAAGGTTGTTGTAAGGATTAAATGAGGTAATCTACATAAAGCCCTGGCACATAGTAAGGACTGAGTAAATGTCAACAGCAGTCCCTTTCTTCCTCCTCCTCCTCACACACTCTCTCTCCTGCTTCCTCCGCTTCTCCTTCTTCTCCACTCACTTTTTTTCCTCTCCCTCCAGCATGTTCTCCTCATACACAGGCCCTGTAGTTTTTGCTAAAGCCTTGAGAACGCCTTCCTCAAGCCAGGCCTGGACTTGGTCCAGTGGAGTATATTGGGTGAAGTCTACAGGGTGAATTTTTTTTTCTCCTCACTTTGTTTTTTTGTGAAAAACGGAGATCAATGATTAATATTTTGGTTTGATAAATATTTGAAAGTTGCATGAAATGTGAAAGTTATGCAAATGAGGTAAACAGAGTCTTAAAATTACAGAAGAACCTCACCATTGGATAAACTATTATTTATCCAAATGGTTTTGCTTCCTCTCTGCCATCCTGTTCATGCCACCTGTTGGTAATTTCTTTTTTGTGAAAGATATATTCAAATCTTTAGACTGTTTCTTTTTAATTGGGCTGTCTGATTTTTCTTACGGATTTTTTTAAAAATAGATTTACAGGCATTATTATTTAATCTGGTTATTGGTTGCTACTAATTATTCTGGTTATTATGAATAATACAACTTTAAAGAGAATATTTAATTTTTCTTCTTTTTTCTACAGTCGCCTCATGGTGTCCTTTGATAAATTGAAGTTCTTAATTTAAAAGTGGTGTATTTAATCTCATTTTTCCTTTATGGCTACTGCTTTTTTTGCTTGTCTTATTTAAGAAATCTTTTCATGTAACAGGAGGAAGGGGCCAAGATGGCAGCGTAGTCAGATGCACCATAACATCCCTCTACAACAAAGTCTTATATAAATAATCAAGGACAGTCACAAATGGTGAGCTCAGACCTCTGAAAAGCAAATGAAGGACTGAAAAAACAAACCGGATATGGACTGGAAGGAGAGAGACAACAAGGAGAGTGGCAAAGCAAGGAATCATGGATTGTCCACAGTCTACCTGCTACCACGGAGCAACGTAGTCATCTTGGGTCAGCTACAAGCAGTATTTCTGAGTGAGGAGCCCAGCAAAAGAACATCAAGAAAAATACAACCTGAAACAGAGACACTGCGCAAACAACTCTGGAAAGAAACTACAAGGTAGGCAATCAATGCACCAGGTTTGGGCACACCAGAGATGATAGAGTGTCACACGGGAACAACATCACATTGAAACCAGGGAACCAAACGGAAGGACTGCAGGAATAAAGGGATGAGGGTTGGGTTATAAGACATTCAGGTCAAGAGAAAGATTAATCAGGGAGTAGATATTTGTGGAGGAGCAAAAGGAAAGTAAAGCAGGGAGAGCATTAGCTGCATGGGCCAGGTGAGTGCAGAGAAGGCAGAAAGCTGGGCTGCCAACAAAGGCTAGCATGGAAGACCACCCCACCCCCACCACCACTACACAAACCCTGGCTGCTTGCTGGGATGCCCAAGTGTGCTCAGTGGAGGGTTCTTTTCCCCCACTGCAAAAAGGTAAGCTATTAGTGAATTCACTAACTAGATAGTAGACAAGAATCTTAGGTCAAGGGAAGGACAACACACAATACGGGGTAAGTCAGCACAACTGGACCAAAGCAAAGCACATAAGTTTCCTGGACACAACCAAACACTTTGAGGTACAGAGTAGCTGGGGCTGGGGCCTGGGAACCATAGTTTCAGGGAACATCTAGGTCAATTGGCATAATAAAGTTTATTAGGAAAACGTTTTACATCCTACTTTGGTGAGTGGGGTCTGGGGTCTTAAAAGCTTGAGAGCGGCCATCTAAGATGCATCAATTGGTCCCAACCCAACTGGAGCAAAGCAGAATTAAGAACACCAAAGACACAAGGAAAATATTAGCCCAAGAGACAAAAGGGCCTCATAAACCGGAGACTCCATCAGTCTGAGACCAGAAAAACTAGATTGTGTCCGGCTACCACCAAAGACTGCTCTGAGAGGGAACACAACAGATATTTCCTGACTGAGCACGTAAAAAGCATGGAGCAGAACTCAGATTCACGTAAAAAGATCAGACTTAATGGTCTCACTGAGATTGGAGGAAACCCTGAAGCCATGGCCACCACATGCTCTGTTAACCCAGAACTAAAACCATTCCCAAAGTCCACTCTTCAGACAAAGATTAGACTGGACTATAAAACATAAAATGATACCTGTGAAGAGTGTGCTTCTTAGTTCAAGCAGATACAGGAGACTAAATGGGTGGCTCCTGTCCGGAGGCAGGATGAGAAGGCAGCAATGGATAGGAGCTGGTTGGATGGACATGGGAAACTCAGGATAGAAAGTGGGAGTGTGCTGTTAAACATTATAGGGATTGCAACTAGTGTAATATAACAATGTGTAAAAATTTTTGTATCACAGATTAACTTGAGCTGTGAACTTCCATCTAAAGCACAATTAAAGAAAATAAAAATAAAAAAAATAAAATTACGCACACAAAAAGCTGTACAGGTGCTGAGTCACTGCACCCACCCTCTGGTACTGCCCCATCTGAGTCTGTGCAGAACACTCCCAGGTTTACTCTCCTGAGAATGGAAGCCCCATCTCATCCTCTTACCCCTCCCAGGGACTCCCACACCCTTCTGTGCCTGTGTGGGAAGAACTCCAGACCCTCTGCCTGAGTGTGGATGTCCCAAGCCACCTCCTTCCCCCTCCCAGGGACACCCCTGTCCTTCTGAGTCAGGCAGCCACCCTCCTAGCCACTAGACTGAGGAAGCCCCACACCACCACCTCTCTTCCCAGGGACTCCCTTGCCCTTCCATGCTTGTGCGCAGAGGGATCCTCCCCATCTGGAACTGATAGAAACCACCTGTCCTCTCCCCATACACCACCTACCCAAGACTGAGTGAAAGGTTTACTCCGAACACCAAACCTGCGCTGCCTGACCCAGTACAAACAGATAACCCACCCAGCAAACCAGGCAGTACGGTACTTATTCACAACAAAATGAAGACTGCTCCAATCCTCAAGTGATGTGGAGGAACCCCAAGAGCCTGATACCTTGCACCTTTCCACGAGGAAGAATGCTACTCACTCAACTCCAAGCACTCAGCCAAGGAGAAATTTTAAGTGCTTAATGCCACACTCCCTACATGTGTACTCTAACCAGTGTGCAGCCCCAAAATCCTACATACCTCAATAACATAAAAGAATAATTAAAATATTACAAATGAAGGGAAACAACCCAAGAAAACAGAAAACAGACTAAAGTCCTAATATACCAAGACAAAATCAAACAAGCAAACAGATAATCAAAATCATTAATGTCCCACAGACAACAGACAATTACAAAGCATATGAAGAGACAGGAAAAGATGGACAAATCTAACAAACAAGATAAAAGGACAGAAACAATCTTGAAGGATGAACATATGATGGAACTATCTGTTAAAAACTTCAAAAAAGTAGTACTAAGGTTATTCAAAGAGATAAAGGAAACTACATTAAAAAAAAACCTAGAAGTCAGGAAAACATCACAAGAACAAAATGACAAATTCGGCAAAGAGACAGAATCTAAAAAAATTCAACAACTAGTAATTCCAAAGCTCAGTAATAAAAATAACAGAAATAATTCCCAGGAAGGACAAAGAGAATTGAAGCAATGGAGGAAAGAATCAGTGAAATAGAAGACAAAACTTTCAAGACTACTCTGAGAAACAGAAAAAAGAATGAAGAAAAATGAACAAAGCTAAACGGTTATGACAGATGCCTTCAAAAGGAACAGTACTGATACTTGCACATGAGAATTCCAGGAGGAAAAAAAAAATACAGAAAGAATATTTGAAGACTCAGTGGCAGACAACATCCCAAATACTGCAAAAACACAAGATTTTCAACCAAGAAGCTCAACAAACTTCACACAAGATAGACCCTAAGACAAATTCACTGAGACATATCATAATAAAACTTCCAGAACCAACAACAAAGAAAGAATCTTGACAGCAGCATGGGAAAAGAGAGGTTTCACCTACAAAAGGGGCCCCAATGAGATTAAGTGCTGATTTTTCATCAGAAAATTTTTTCTGGGTCTTGCAAGTTTTCCTCCTTTGACATAATGCAGTCTTACCACGTTTCTATTGCTCCTTTTAGTGGATTTAGAGTTGTTCTTCTCTGACCGGTTTCTGCCTCACACAGGTTTGGGCTTTCACAGGCTTTATCGTATGTGTAATTACATATACACCTAC